AGCAGGAACTCCAAGTGCTTTACCTCCTGCTGCCCAGCCCTTCCTGTCCTATCTCCTTCACTTTAAACAAAACATGGGAAAGGTGTGCATACCCCTGGAAGACCTTGGGGTTGTTGTGGTTGTTTTTTTTCCCCACCCTGCATCTCCTCACCTGTCTGTGTGGACCTTGTTCTGGCCCTCCGTTGGGTGAGGTGGGCCTGCTCTGATCAGCAGACTTGGCCTGAGAACGGTCCCGGCTGCCGTAGCGGTCGCAGGAGTAGAAGCGCTGCTTCTCGGAGGAGGAGGAGGAGTGTTGCTTCCTCTCTTGGGACCGGCCACGTTCCTGCTTCTTGTCTTTGGAAGAAGGCTCACCCGACTGGGCCACTGAAAGAACAGCATCGGTTGGGGGTCACCAGCGTGGGTGAAACCTTCAAATGTGGGGCAAGGAGGTCCTACCGTGCAGATGGGACCTCAGTCCATGTCCAGTGACCACTAAAGGGAGGATGAGGGAGGTGTTTATAAGATGTGGTGCTGAGGGACACGGTGGTGGCCTTGGCAGGGCTGGGTTAAGGGTTGGACTTGATCTTCAAGGTCTTTTCCAACCGAAACGACTCAGCAACAAAGGACAAATCAAATGCTTACCAGCTTCTCCATCGGCCAGCTGATGGGGGGACCTCTCCAAGGACTTCTGCTTCTTCTCTTTCCGCCGATGGCAGCGGTGGTGATGGTGGTGATGCCCTTGCTCAGGTGGCACACGCTCCAGGGAGTACTCGTAGAGGTGCATGGCGTGAGGACGCTGCGGGGCCAGCGTGGAGACCGAGCGCTTCATGGGGCTCGTGTCTGGGATGGGCTGGAAGGAGATTGGAGGGGAGATGGAGCAGGGTGAGGGCAGGCACTGCACCATGCCCAGCTGCCTGGCTCCCAGCACGGGGGAGAAGGGGGGCATACAGTGAGAGAGAGGGGCAAGGAGAAAAATGGTCAACTGGACATCATTGGCATGGGCAGAAGGACTTGTGGAATGGTTAAGATTTAGTGCTAAATTGGAGGAGCAAATGTCATCTCCATTTGCTGAAATGGGCTTGATTTTTAGCCAGTCCACAGGTGCCACGGGCGCAGAGCGAGGGGCAGCACTTCACACCACACACAGGGCAGCAGGGCCAGAGGGCAGCACAGTAGCCAAGCGACTCACAAAGGAAATTCTCCAAGACTGGTTGCACCTGAAGCTGCTTCAGGGCCTGTGGTCATCCCAAAGCAACTCCAAAGGGGAAAGCATGAAGGGGTTGCTGGGCATCACATGGAAAGGGAGAAAAATCAGGAGTAAGTGGGCAAGGTACTTCTATCTCCCTGCAATTGAAACAACTCCTGTCAAACATTTTAATCTCTCTTCATGTCCCACCATTCCTCCTTGAAGCCCCAATGGCTAGGACAAGCCAGGTAGCATCTATATCCTGCAATTCTACCAGGATGTCTCCAAAAATGACTACTTGGGTTTGCTACTGCTGCTGTTAAATCATCCGTGGCTTGAGAGCCAGGCGTCTGTGTGCAGTACCACAGCCTCCCATGGACATTGCTGGACCTTGTCCTCATGCCAGTGGCAGCTCCAGGTTCTGCTCCCTTCCCTTTGGGTTCAAAGCCTTACAAAGATTCTCTGCAGAAACCAAGTGGAGTACAGGACAGGTGATATCACAGCCTTTCCTTTCCCTACAGCACAGGAAAGGCATAAAGCTCAGAAAATGAGGACTGCCGTTCATTCTGCTGGCCTCCAATTGCTTTGCATATCATCACAGAATCATAGAAAGGTTTGGGTTGGAAGGGACCTTAAAGATCATCCAGTCCCAACCCTCTGCATGGACAGGGACACCTCCCACCAGCCCAGGCTGCTCCAAGCCCCATCCAACTTGCCCTTCAACACTGCCAGGGATGGGGCAGCCACAGCTTCCCTGGGCAACCTGGGCCAGGCTCTCACCACCCTCACACTCAGAGGGCTCTATGGTGGAGACAGGGCTTCCTCCAGCCTCTGGGGACTTCCCTGGGGCTTGGATCCACAATCCAACACGTGCCTCCAACGACAATTCTCACACAACATTTACTTTCTTCACTATAACCTTTCCAAAGAGCCCCGTGCAATTTCTCCTGTCTCTCCTGTTTTATTTGCTTACCCCAAAACTCAGATCTCTGCTGCCCCATGATATTTACACAGCACGAGGCAAATTGTCTCCATCTCTGCTTGTTATTCTGAGCAGAAAGAGCTGCTCTCCCTCCCACAGCCTGCCACAGGTGGGTGATTTTGGACATAAAGATGCAAGTTTGGCCTGAATTCCTGTTGACTGCTCTCTCTCTCTTGCTAGGCAGTCACCCCAGTTTTGGTGCTTCCCACTGGTGGGGTGCCAGGGCTGGAAGGTTTGTTGGGGTGGGGGAGCATGGCTGCATCCCCAGGGCCTGCACATCTATCTGGTGCTGCATTGAGCTCCTCCTGTGTCTCTTCTGCAATTCCTACAGGCAAAAAGATCCTGCTGCAGAACTTCCAGCTTGGCCTCATCACTTACTGTTGAGCCTGATGATGGAGGAGGGCAGAGAGGTCCATAAACTGAACAGGCAGATTCAGGATTTGACAGATGTGAGCAAAAAAGTGAAAAGTGAAAATACTTCCCTCTGAAACTCCCCCCCCATCCAGATTTCCAAAATCCATATTGGAGCTGCCAGAAAGAAGATGGAAATTTCCCAACACAAAGGCTGCCAAACCAGTAAGAAATTAACATTTCTCTTTGAACTTCGATTCTGTGGTTGTCCCAGGGACTGAAGTCCCCCCTGACACTGATGGGAAGTGGCAAAGCCATGAATACCCTTTCCATAAATCCCAACAATGCTCTTGTTACATGAACACAGGCTCCCCACAAGCCTGGGGAGATTTTACCATAAACCTTCAGAGAGTCACTAATTGCTTCTTCATTACCCAAGCGATTGTTTTCACTCCCTAAATTCCTGTGTAACAAGGCATAGAGAAACAAATAAATAAGCCAAACAAACAAACAAACAAGAAGTCCCTGCTGGTCAGAGCATGCGACGTGCAATGGTGGGTGGAGGGAACTGCAGCAAAGGTGGGGAGAGATGGTGGCTGCAACATTGGCCTCCAAATGAGAAGGGGGGGAAGAAGTAAAGGGTTAAGGAAGGTTAATTATTTCTCGACATGAATTTAAGAGGGTACAACTTAGTGCAGAGACTACATACTGCTAGGTAACTCCCAGGTGACCGTGCTTTGCTCCTCTGCAAACAATTCGGACAAGATGAGAGACATTATTTGAAGCAGCCCCACAGTACAGCCATTGTCAGACATCACGGCAGATGTGCAGCAGACACGGTGATGACAGGGGAGAGGAGGTGATGGGGGAGGAGGGCAGCAAAGAGGAGGGCAGGAGGGGAGATTGAAAGGGTAGGGAAGTCATTTTTTTTTAAAAAAAAACCAAACAAACCAAAACAGCGGGGATGTAAAAAGACAGGGGAGTGACAGGAAACAGAAAGGGAGACATCCAGTAACAGAAAGGCACAGCAAATAAGAGTTAGGAAGAACTCAAAGGTTGGGGAAGCAGAAGCAGCACGAGAGAGGGAGGGTGAAGGGGGGAGACACACAGAAAGGACATCAGTTATTCAGCTGAAGCTACAACCACCAAAACACTGTTTTATTAAATGAGGTTAGATCCACTCAAATCTGATGGGCCTGATTCATAACAAGCTTAGGGAGCTGTGCCCTGGAGAGCACCTACCCTGCTTCTGCCAGAGACTCCCTTCTGGGAATACCTGACTGCAACAGAGGGTTTTCCCCAGGAAAGGCTCCTGCTGCTGGCCTGGCTGCTGCCAACAGCATTGCCTTGGAAGGAAAGGAAGGAAATTGGTCTAGAATAAAGGACAACTTTGTTCTGGGAAGGGAGGGGGAGGGAGCACAGGTTTGCTTTGGGGTCTGTTTCTTTTATTAAACATGTTGAGTAGTGTTCCTGATAACACAGAGCACCTCAGCTCTCACACAAAGGCTTCACTTTCCCAGGTCAGCCGGGAAATTTGCTACCTGATGAAGTGCCAGCCTGAGCCCATCAGCAAAGAGATGGTATCTGCTGGAGCTGCTGCTGAGTATGCAGCACACAGGCTCTTAGTGCCAGGGTGCAGAGTTTCTTTCATGCTCATGTTCAATGGGAAAAGCACACCATGGCAGGCTGCTCCTGACTGGATGAATCAGGCCCTTTGAATGAGAGAAACATGATCTGGGTGGCAAGATGTTCTGACACACACAGGGGGTGGGATGGTGGCTGGACAGCCCCCGGGGACAACCAGCTAGCAACAAACGTGTGAAATGGCCAGAAATGATCAGTGAAAGGCATGACATCCTACACACTGAGCGGTGTCCACAGGTTGCTGTAAATGCCAACTCTAAGATTTCTTTATAAGAAGTTAAACAAGGGAAACCCTCAACATTTTACTGACCAACTTCACAACACGACTTAAGCTGAGTACTAAGTGAAGGGGAAAAGACAGGGGGGATGTTCAGTGTCTCAGAGCAGCCCTCCAGGCACTGGCTTCCTGGAGTTCCTGTACCTCCTACATTCATCTCAGAGAACCACAGCACATCTCCAGCTTTTTTCATGGCTGGGGCACAGGAGGGTGCCTTGACTGTCCGTCAAGACAGACAGCATGCAAGTGGCAATGGGAAAATTACTCCTTCAAGGAACAGAGGCTGGCAAACAATTTCATCCTTGGTAAATCAGAACAGAGATGTTTGAGTAGGGAGCCATCAGTTCACTCTCCAAGCAGAGGGATATCTCAGGATTGCTTTTTGTGGCAACCAAGGAAGAATAAAACTGGGGACATGAATACCTGCCCTTCAAGCACCAAGACACAGCCTGCCTCCAGGTTCAACAACCATCCTCTAAACCCAATATTCACCAGCAACTTTCAACAACACAGCAAGCAGGGAGAAGATGCTGAGCTCTTGACTCACTCTCAGCCTCCCAGGGCCAGCAAAGCCTCCCTCACTCACCTGAGTTTCAGCAGCCAGGCGTGGCATGGAAGCTGCCCGTCCCTGGCTCTCCAGGCCTGGTTGGTGCTCTCCATTGGCAAGTGTGGGACTGATTTCCCTCATTTCTACCACCTGATTGGAAGAACAAGAAATGGTTTCAATAGCAAGAACATGGACATCAGCACTGGAGCCATCATCTGTGCAGGCTTCTGCAAAGTCAGATTTAATCGTGAGGAGAAGCTGCAAAGTCAAAGAGTAAATCCAGAGCTGTGGGATGTCTGGATTGCTCTAACTACAGCACTGCTTTCAACAAGGACAAGAGTGGGCCAAGCTCTTCCACCAGGGGTGGCAATGAGCACCAGTGAAACTCCTCACTTGAGCTGGGACACTAACGATGCTGGGATTGGGACAACAGGACAACTAGGAAGAGATAACATCAAGCCATCTACTGCAGCAGACACACAGTTCCACAAAAACAGTGTGTCCACATCTACAGCAATCAGACTGTAGAAGATAGCAGATTTGGATTTTCTCCCTAATATTCAAGCAAAGTTTGGGTTACAAGAGAAAGAATGATGCTGTGTCAAGGGATCTACTGTCTATTGCATCTCAGCCTGTCTTCACCTGTTTGCTCACCCTTTCAATGGGGATTTCTTCTGAGTGTCCTCGTTCAAAAGCTGGTGTCCTCGTTTCATAAAACACATCCTGGGTGCGTTGGGTCCCCCAGGAACTGGACTCTTTGATCCCACCCTCTGGAGCTGGCCTGTCAGAAGGAAAAGAGGGGAAAAGATTAATTCTTTTGCAAAGAGATGTTGCTGGCCTTATTGTGGAGAAGGCAAAGAACTCAGGCACCCTTTGAGGTTTCACCTATGAAACCAGTTGCAGGACAGGCAAAGCTGCTGGTGAAGCTACACAGTCCTCTGAATTTTGCCAGGGCCACTTTCTATATAGCCTGAGGATCCCATGAGCAACAAGGCAACCACACCAGTCAGCACATAATTTTTTCCTGCAACTGAGGAAAGCAGCTTGTGCAGCTCAAGTTGTCATCTTGGAGTTCAGGTAAATTATGTATGCAAGGCCAGTTAGACAAATAACCCTAAATGACATACCAGAAGAAAGTCACCTGGAGAAGACCAGGAAACAGAGAATTGATTAGGGATCACAGTTACTGTAACTGTTTGGCAAGCTCCCTGTGGAGCTAGTGTTTTGCCCAAAGAGAAAGAGCCAGATTCTGCCCTCAAGAGTCTCAAGGAGCTCTTTCTGTTATGAAGTGCTATGAGCTTGAGGGATGACTTTGTTCCCCAGAACCTTTTTACTCCTGAGAACATACTGGGGGTTGGTGAGTTTGGGCTTCCTTGGTTGTTTTGCGAAGAACCCAGATTCCTGTAAGCAAACACAGAACTAGACACGATGGAAAGATCTCCAGTTCAGAGCCAGAGAAGACCATTAAGAAAACATGCAGCTCTGCAGAACCCAACGCTACCACCGCGTGGATGAACAGCAGTGGGAAGCAGGGACACGGGGCATTTGGGGAGCCACCAGTGGGAAACTGTCCCAGCCACGGTGTGAAGAGGTTTTCTGTCTTCCTGTCACTGCCTCCAGAGCACGTGGACCAGCAGTGGTTGGGGTTAGAGCCGTGGTGGGGAGGTCAGGGCTACTCACAAGGCACCGCCGTTGTTGAGCGAGGCTGAGCTCTTCTGGCGCAGGAACGCCTTGGCGTTGCCGAAGGGGGCAGCTTGGGTTTGCTCCAAGGTGGCCGTCATGGAGGGGAAAAGAGACACTGATCCGGGCTGCAAAGCACAAGGAAAGGCTGTCAGAGCTGCACTGTGGAGAAGACAGACACCACCGTGCATTTTCTAGTTAATAAAATGCCCGCTTTGTCACCCTGGAAGCTCAGCCCAGCAGAAAGCCCACCCCAACATTCCCATCGCTGAAGGGGCTCTGAAGGACAATCACTGCCTTGCTGTGCTGGAAGTCCCATTCCTCCAACAAAGTGTTGCTCCTGTCACCAGAGCCCAGCAGGGATTTCATACACCAGTATCACCAAAGGGGACCTGCAATTCTGGTGGCTCGAGGTGACACTGGGTCTGCTCCAGCATCCCAGTTGTGAGACAGACAGATAAGCCATGCTGGAAATCAGCTGGATGGTCATCCTGAAATTCATGGGTATTTATCCTATTGGAAACCTTTGGGGTTTTAGTATCAAGCCAGTTGCAAGGAAAAATTTTCAATAAATTGTAAAAATCTTCAAATCTATTAGAGCCAAAGTGATTTTGAATAATTCCCACTTTAGAAAGCAACTTAAAACATTTTAGAGCCCAACTACCATCAGCTTTCAATGAGTCTTTGGTGTCCCAAAGATATCCTTCAGTGTTCCCCAGTCCCTGGGACACTTCTGAAAGCAGAATTTAGCCTGCCAAGTCACTTGACATCTTTTGGATAAGATCTTTCCAGACCTCCTGGAAAAGGCAACTGCACAATTCAGTATTCTTTAAAATTCTTCCGGAAAGAGAGACTTTCAGGAGGGTTTGCTTTTTTTGAGGCAGCATTTTTCCAATCCTGCCTGGAGAAACATCCAGACTTTCCAGAAGAAACATGCCAGTGACTCTCTTGGAGAAGAAGCTGCCCATGAAGGAGGGCACAGGAGGACACCTTTTGGCTGGGTACCTGGCGCAGGCCTCCGGCAGGCGGGTGAACCTGTTCCCTGCTGTTCTTGTTCTGCTTGTAGAAGTCAAATATCATCAGCGCTGCATAGACCTTCCCCACAGTCATCTCATCAGCTGTCAGAGGGTGGTGGAAACACAGCAGAGACGTCCAGGTGAGGAAAGGGAAAGACCAGAAGAAGGCAAAGAGGACAAAAAACAACAACAAATGGGCGTGAAAAACCAGGAGGAAGATGAAGCAACATTAGAACAAAGAGCTCGAACAGGCAGAGAAAAGTGGAGGAAAGAGAAAGGAAAGAAAAAAAAGAGCAGGAAAAGTTACAACAAGCTTCTTCAGATCTTTGCCTGTTGCTGCCTTTCACATCTGATGGCCCCTGTCTCCAGCTCTCTGCAGCAAATACTCAAAGAAAAAAACCAGGCAGAAAAAGCCTGTGGCATTGCAAGCATTGCTGGCAGACAAGGGCTACATTAATAACAGATCCACAGCCAGCTTTCCTTTTCTAACAACAGAGAAGCCTTTTCCCTATTTCTTTGAATTACAGCCCACTGGGGCATAATGGGCTAATATACATTTAAGGAGTATTTCATCTTTCCAGATGTCTTTCTCACCCTCCCTGTGCCCAGCCCCCCTCTGCATGGCAGCTGAGCACCCACTGGGAGTAAAGAGTTAAAGCACCAGGTACAGAAAGATCAAGTGAGAGTGGAGGAGAAGGCTTTAGCAGTCACTACCCAGATTTGCACTTCTTCAGCTCCTTCATTTTTCCTAATTAAGAATGCCTTTATTGCTCTGCCCTGTTTCTCATTAATCAGGAACCCAGAGCCCTTGTCTTGGCCCATTAAGATAATGGCAAAGTTTCCATTTTCTCAGCACATTCTCCCAGGACATAATCAAGAAACACCAAGGCCTTTAGTCCCAAAATACCTCACTTCTGATTCTGTACTTTCTCAGCAAACTTTAATTTTCTTCTCCCAGTTTTCTGGAGCCCAGATGGTAGAAATTCTTCTCCCATCATGTGAGGCACAATCTGAAGCTATGAAAAAGCTCTGGGAGAGGCCACACAGGGCATTGGTCCCTTCTCAGTGAGGGATTGTTGGGTTTTTTTCCCCAAGTACAGGAAATCTATTGTAGCATAACGAAATACCTGCCTAGATGTGTCCTCAGCTTCCCTGCTCCTGATGAGACCATGGCATGGAGATGTGGGTTGTGAACCCCATGGAGAGCATTACTAGAAGCTGACCTGCACTTGGTTTCTCTGCTGCACAATCTAGATGACCACTAAGAGCTAGGGACAGAGCAGGGAAGGAGGGGGAACCTCCTCTGGGCTTCTCAGGTGGCTGGGATGTGTTGGGTGTTTGCTGATAAACCACTTACGTTTGTGAGGAGGAACCAGCAAATCCAGAGTCTTCTGGGACAGATTGGGCCAAACCAGTGAGATCTCTTTTCTCAGCTCAGCGTCACACTGGTGCTGTTTAACACCCCCTGCAGAAAGGAAGGGGACAGAAAGAGGCACATGAAGAAGAGGGAAAAGCCTGGTCCTTCAGCATATACCGCCATTTACTCAGCAAGGACAGGAGAAGGCATTTCCCAGCTCCTACTCCATGAGGGCACCAAGACAGCCCCAGATGCAGCAACCATTGAGAAGGGACTTGGTGACCTCCTCCATGACAAAAGCATGTGAGCTCAGCAGGGCCATCACCACATCAACCTGCTGCCCCTCTGCTGTGATTTGGGGCTTAAACTTAAGCTGAGATTTACTTTACCCTACTGCTCATTCGGGGAGTTGGAAGGTCATGGAATCACAGACTGGTTTGGGTTGGAAGGGAGGTTAGAGACTATCTAGTTCCAACCCCCCTGCATGGGCAGGGACACCTCCCAGCAGCCCAGGCTGCTCCAAGCCCCATCCAACCTGCCCTTCAACACTGCCAGGGATGGGGCAGCCACAGCTTCCCTGGGCAACCTGGGCCAGGGTCTCACCACCCTCACAGGGAAGAATTTCTTCCTAATGTCTCACCTAAATCTCCCTTTTCTCAGCTTGAAACCATTTCGCCTCATCCTCTCACTCCCTACCCTTGCCAAAAGCCCCTCCCCAGCTCTCCTGGAGCCCCTTCAGGCACTGGAAGCTGCTCTAAGGTCTCCCTGGAGCCTTCTCTTCTCCAGGCTGAACACCCCAACTCTCCCAGCCTGTCCCCAGAGCAGAGCTGTGATCTTTGTGATCAACAGAAACCTCCCAGCTGTTCTGGGAAGGGCCTGGTCTGAGCAAGGCCATGACTGATGATGAAACCCCTCCACTGCCAGCTCCTCCTGAAGCTGTTGGCTCTGAGCCCTCAGCCCTCTGCTTGGTGGCAGCACCATCCGACAGCAGCCTCTCCCAACGGGAAGCAGGAGGAGCCCAACTGGGCAACGTTATTCCAAGGGCCCAGGCAAGGTCTCAATACACAAGTGGAAAGTGATTAAAGTCTCTGTAAAGCCAACAGGGCAGCTCCCAGCTGAGCACAGCAATTAAGCAGTTCATCTAAATGACAGAGATGATTTTTCTAAGAGAAAAGGAATGGGAGGAGGCTCTGGGTAAATCTGCTACATGGTGGTTTGAACTCCTGCACAGAAACTCATTAGGGAGGGTTTATTAAGGGCCTGTTAGTCCCACTAAAGACTCAATTAAATGTAGCACATGAAATCTATTCAAACCAAGCACATAGCAACAACACAGGTCAAAAACTCACAACCCACAGCAGATATAAATCTTAGAAAGAATCCAGTGCTCTCAGCTGAGCTCTCTTCTCTGGTTCCCTTCCAGTGTGTGGCCAAAAATAAGGGGGTCATTGGAGGGGGAACTTTTTTACATGAAAAAAACCTGTTTTAATGACTATTGCCAACAGGGAACCCAAATCCTACATATAGGATTTGTATCATAATACATAAATACAGAAAAGAATGGTACAAACTCTCAGTGTTCTTATCTAGGGGTTATTACTAAAACAAGGTGCTGGCCCCTAAAATTCCAGGCAGTCCTGAATGAATCCTTAGGAATGAGTGTCTGATCCTCACTGACAATCCCCTGGGATGTCCCAGTGACCTCGACTATTTGTCTTTATCCAGCAGGACCTACCCAAAGCATCAAAGTTTAAGCAACATATGAGGGAGGTAATTAATAGACAGGTTGAATGGTTGGCCTAAAACCACTTAGGAAACACACAACATCTTAACCCTGCCCTGCCCTTTTGCTTGTCAGAGCATTGTTACCCCCTGTTAGCTTTTAAATTAGGTGTAAAAGTCCTTTGGCAGGTCATGCCTTGATTCTGACCCCAGCCAGCTTGATTAAATAGTGCAATGGCCCAGAGAAAAGGCCAGTGTATTTTATTACATTGCAATATTTAATTGGGAAGTCAAGTAAATGCCTGATTAAACACTTAAATAATTAAATTGTATCTCAAGGCAGAATGTGGCTCAGGGCACCTGGAGTCACTGCTTGGCTGCCCACAGACAGCAAGTGGAGAGGAAGGGCTGGACTTTCCCTCCTGCTGGAGTAGCTGAGAAAAGAGGAGTGGAAGCTCTTGTCTCTGTCATAGAGCAATGGGCAAGTGCACAGGGCATCTCCTCTGAGAGCTCCCAGCTGGGAAGGCCAAGGCTCTCCACATCCCATCAAGCAGGATGCCAAGATGTGGCCACCCTAAAGGCAGAGTGAGACTCAGGACCCCTCCTGCTGCCTGTCCTCAAAGCTCCCATGTCCTCAGGAGCTGGCAGAGGGCTCACGGGCAATAGGAAAGCAGGATTTCCACCTGGCTCAGAGCTTCTGGGGCTTCAGGAGGACCCCAGGTCAACAGCAAGGTTGAGGCTGGAGCCCAGGCCATCACCTGCCTCTCACCTGAGGCCAGTTTGATCTCCAGGGCCGTGCGGATCAAGGCCATCAGCGTGGATGTGAAGTGGACGGTGAGATCTTCAGGTGAGATGGGCATGTTCATCCTCACCAGGCGCTGGAGAGAGAAACGTGGTGGCTGTAAGTGAGGGTCAGGATTCCTCCCCCCCACCCCTTCCCTCCCCTCCCACCCTGGGAGTCCTCAGACACAAATCTGGGTGAACTTTCTGTGCACTGAGCTAAAACGCATCTTCTGCACAGAGATGTCAGCTGCTCTCCAGGAGCAGGTCTGAGCTCAAACGTGGCTTTAGTGGTTAAACAGCTCATTTGCCAGCATTTGTACTGCAAAGAGAGCTCATCCAAGAGCAGGCAGTGTGGATGCTCTCCTCTTATTCCACAGCCTGGCACCCTGCTCCTGATATTCTCCAGCTCTGCAGCCTCCAGACACGTGGCTGGTACCCATCACCTTCACCAAAGCAGCATGCTCAGGAGATAACAACCATCAAGCTCTCTCTACCACCCTTTCCTACACCAGCCACCTTCACCACTACTCTGGGTCTACAACAGGATCCACAGCAGCAAATGGGACCTGGCACAGCTGAGCCAGTTAGGGTGAAGGAGGATTTGCATCTACCAGTTGAGGATGCAGCTCCATCCAGAGGCTGTGCCTCTGCCAGATGTGCAGGTGACCTTGAGGGTGAGGAGGATGGGAGGAAGGCACTCTCAGTGATGATGACAACAGGAGGTGAGTGCTTGGTACAGCCTCAGGAGGGGTCCTGTGATGTTCCATTTTGTACAGAGCCTGGGGCTCAAGCACGCTGGGCAGTGTGGGACTGGCTGCCACCAGGTGAAGGTGGGCAATATCCTTTCCATGGGAGACATCTGGGTTGTGTCTCTACCACCTTTCACCATGGGCATTCCAGGAGCTCTGAAGGTCCTTCCAGTCACTGAGCTACACAGCTCCACCTGGACCTTGCCCATAGGGGAAGAGGATTAACATGGACAGGACTATAATTCCCCCGTGTTCTTTCAATTTGGACCTGGAATAGTCCCTCAGGATCTGTACTTTCCAAGATCCTCAGACCTGGTAGAAACTCCTTCTCCACCACCCAGCAGGACCACCTCTGCTAGGGTAAATCCATCATTCTTGCAAGGAACAGAGCAGTTGAGGTTGCTGTGGGAAGCTGGGTCCCTCAGCACTGCAGGCAGAGAGCAGGTCTCTGCAGATGGGAGCAGCACTCTCCAAGCCTTGCTGATAACCTTGGCAACACACTGAAAGGATGGATTTCTCCTTCTCCAGCAACCTAATGATTTCTCAGCTCCTCAGCTTACACGTGCTGCTTAGAAGCTTCCTTGCCCAGAGCTGTATCAGACAAACCTCTGTGCTTCCAATCTCCAAGGGCACGTGCAACCTGAGGAGTCTGAATCTGTCAGAGCAGAGACTGGAAAACCAAGCGTTGCCTTGGGCCCCTTGCTTGGCAGGGAATTTCATGTCTGAAAGCTGCTTAGGGCTGTTATTTTGATCCCTGTTCTGTGATTCTATCACTGCCCAGAAACCTTCACTTTGTGTACCACCAGCCGGACGTGCTGCTCAAGCCTCTGACTCAGGACCAGCCAGGGCTGCAGGCTCCCTGGGGTGCCTAGCAAGAGGGGGCAGGGATGAGCCTGATCCCCCTCCTGCTCCCTACACTGGAACACTGGGCCAAGGCTGGGGATGTTTTTCAGAGCTGCAGCTTTGCTGGTGCAATCCTCAGGCCAGATGCAACGTTGGTGGCTCAGGGTGGTGCCTCCTGCAACCCCCATCACTGGCCCAGGGAAGGATTGGGATGGAAGAACCACCACTTCTGGGCAGGTTTTTGGTGGTGAAGGGAAACAGAGTGTGGCTGAGAGCAGTGGCCTGGCTGGAGTCCCAGATGAGCCCTTAATTCCTGCTCCCATGCTACCCAAAACCAAGCCACACCTGCTGAATGAACTTGGTGGCCTTTCCAATCACCAGGTAGCCTCTCTGCTTAGAGGAATCTCCACCATTCCATCTCCCAGAGGTGTGAGCTGAGCTGCCTCAGGCAATTTGGTGCCCTCAGAGAAGATGGCTCAAGCTCTGGTGCCTTCTGCCAAGGAGAAAATATCCCCCCCAGGGGGGATGGGTGTCAGTGGTCACAGGGCAGACAGATGGCACAAGGCACTGGAAAAGTCTGCTTCTGAAGTGAACTGACAGCCAGAGGAGCCAAAACCTCCTTATTTATCTTACTACACGTTCCTTGGATCTCGTTGCAGGCTGCAGGGACAAGAGACTCCTGTAACAACCTACCCCTGTCTCCTGAAGTCTGAGACAAACCATTGTAATCTCAAAGCCCTTTCCCAAAGCACACCCAGAGGTTACCTGCCATGTCTGACAAGCCTCAGAGAACAGAAAATCAAAGCCAAGACTCTCCTCCCATTACAACTCAATGATAGTATCAAATGCTGGCAAAGCCACAACAGGGGCTTTTTTCCTGTTCACTTGAGTGAAACGAAATGGGATTTTCATTCAGCCTTCTGCCCTCAGCACACAGAAAGTTACAGCCAAATGATACCCACAAGAGCCCACAGCTCCACTTCCAAGAGTTCCACCAGATCCCACTTCAGTGGGAGAGAGAGTGAAGGGATGGAGAGAGAAAGAAGATGCACAGAAGTGGGAAACAAGCAGATGCAAAACAATTCCCCACGGGAGAGCTCTATCCTCACAAAAAAAACCAAACCAAGTGCCAAACAACATTTTTGGGTCTGAGACTTCCCAGGTCCTCCCAACTGACCTTCCTGATGAAATTCCCCAAAGGACAAGGGTACAGGACACGGGCCACATCAAGGCTGCACTCAGCAACAGTGAGTGAAAGTCCTTCCTCCTTGATTTTCATCAGGAGCAAAGGATTTAGAGGGAGGTTTTCCAAGAGGAAAACCCTCACTTGCAGGGAGGGAGGCTGAGGAAAACCCACACCACTCAGGAGGAGCACTGCCAACACAAACCTGCCACAGGCTTTGCCCAGCCCATGTCCCTGCTCTACAGCACTTTTTCCACCCCAACGTGCAAATGGGACAAACAGGTCAACCTGGACACTTCTCAGGTCATTGCCATTTCAGCCTGCCAAGCCACCAACCAGCAGAAAGGAGGGTTGATGTATCTTGGGCAGCCCCTGGGCAGGGCTGCCAAGCTCTAGCAGCCACATCAGGAGAGGGAAGGCTTGGTCTGAAGGAGTGGGATGCTTCCCTCCCTCCTCTCCAAGAAGGTAACCAACAGTGATGCATCTCCCCACCCTGGGGCAGGGTGTTGAGGAGCACTTGCACTGCAAGGTGGGCTGCAAGTTGCACCTACCAGGGCAGAGCAATTTCCAGCTTCTTAGCCAAAAAAAGCCATCAAATCAGAAGTGTCTGATAACCTGCCAACAGGTCTCAGCTACAAGCCACCCTAAAGTCTCCTGAGAGCAGTGAAGAACCCCTGACTGGACAAAACATGTTGCTTAAATGGGTACACCAGGTTTCTAGGAGAACTTCTGCTGAAGATGAAGCAGTTGGGAGAAAGGAATGGATTCATTTTTTGATTAAAAATGGCTTTACCACCTCAATATGCAGGAGACCAGGGAGAAGGTCGTTTGGTGGACCATGCTCACACCACGTTCCCCTCCATCCTTGGCACCCAGAGGAGCCAAGGAGTCAGCCAGATGCTGGCTCAGCTGCACCAGGGCTGGGACTTGGCACCTGAAATCCCCCACATGATGTCTGGGGCATTTTCCTTGCACCAGAAATGCAACTGAAAGGCTGAAACTGCAGAGAGAGATCATCATTTTTTGCCTCCAATACTATAAAACAACCTTAATGTAAAAATATCTGTATCATCTAAAAATTTTACCTATATTTTAATTCACTTGTATCTCTGTAGAATCTGTATAAAAGGAACTGGGGATCCAGTAGAAATGGGTAACATTTCCCTAAGCCAAATATTCTGACTGCCCCAAAATTGCTTTTAGAATAAATGATCAAGAACTTTTGACTTTCATCCTTCACCAGGATAGAAAAACCTCAGTGTGTTTCATACAGCACAGGCAGCAACATGGTTAAAAACACCTGAAGCAGATGTTTAGCCTGTCCACAGCTGGAAGGAAAATCAACACCTCCCCTCATTTTTGCTGTATCTTCTGGCTGAAGTTGTGCTTTAAGGGTTTCCCAGTTCCTCAAGCTTTGGAAGATGATGCAAAAAAAAAAATGTGATTAAATAAGAAAATGCATCTGATTTGGGTAATTTTCCATCTTTCTAGACCCCAGAAGGCAAACACAGGAGCCTGCTGGTGCAGATGGCAAGAGACTTGAGGCTTCCCCACCCTGATAAAAATCCCCCATCATTCTGGCGTGCTCTGGGAACCCCAAGCTGCAAGGTGAATTAATAACTGAGGAGCAGGGGTGGAAAAAAAAAAAAAAAAAAAAAGGTCAAAATCCCTCCCAGGTGCCCAGACCTGGGAGAAAAAGGCTTCTCAGCTCCTTGGGCTTCTCCTTTTCCTGCCTTCACCTCCCATGTCCCCCAGGAGCAGAGGAACCCAGAAATGAGGCCAGTAGAGATAATTGTCCTGCAGATGCTGAAGATGCAGGCTGAGTTTTAGAGGGGTGGAAAAAAAAAAAAAAAAAAAAAGGTCAAAATCCCTCCCAGGTGCCCAGACCTGGGAGAAAAAGGCTTCTCAGCTCCTTGGGCTTCTCCTTTTCCTGCCTTCACCTCCCATGTCCCCCAGGAGCAGAGGAACCAGCAGCAGATGGAGTCCCCACTCCTGCTTCCCAACCCTGCTCAGGGAACCCTCTGCCCTGGGTTTGAATTAGGAGGTTTCAGAGACATCTTCCAGAGCCAGGGTGAGGGCAGCTTGTTAGTGTTTCTGCAGGAAAAGGCCCCAGAGGCAGGAGCTACAATATCATCTCTAGAACCTTCTAATTAACTCGGTGCAGGTAACAAGTTAATAACCAATTACAGGCGGGGACGGGAAGGCAACGCTTTGTGCTCGGGTTCCTAGTGTGGTCAGGAGGGGAACAGACACCCCTCCAGGGATAATTTAATTGCAAATAAACCAAGGCATGGCTAATGAGAAACCAAACCTTCATGTC